ATTCAAACATAAAAACATGAAACCCGCCTCCCCAATCCTCCAGCTAAACAATCAAACAATCAAATTTCAAAAACAAACCAAATTCTTAGGACTTATTTTCGATGAACATCTCACCTGGGATGCTCACATCCAAAACCTAACAACTAAATGCAGTAAAGACCTAAACACCCTAAGATGCCTAACTGGCTCTAACTGGGGAGCATCCAAAGATACCCTCCTCTCTCTCTACATATCACTAATTAGATCAAAACTAGACTACGGCTGCGCCATATACAACACCCTAAACAACTCTCTATCTAAAAAACTTGACTCAATACAATATCAGGCTCTCAAACTAATTACACGCACCCAACATGGTACCTCCTACACCTCACTTCAGGCCTTAACAGGAGAAATGCCACTAAGTCTACGCAGGGAACAGCTAAGCTTAAATTTCTGGGCCGCGTCCCAATCAAACCCTCTCATCCAAAACTTAATAAACCAAAACATCAGCCCCAAAAACCAAGCTCTAGCTCGTAAACATCCCTTACTTACCCCAATATCCCAAAGAATAACAAACTACCTAAATGAACACCAAATTAAAAATCTTAAACAAAACTGCAAACAATCAAATATCTTCACCCCTAAACTTAAAATACCCAAAATAGACACAACACTAGCTAGCCAAATAAATAAACAAACCGACCCAAACATAGCTAAAACTACCACACTAGCATACATACACGAAAATTGGCCAAATTGGTGTCACATTTACACGGACGGATCCTCAGATCCGACCTCCAAACACACAGGTTTCGGAGTCCATACCACACAACCAACTAAAACCACACAATCCTTCCGACTCCCAAACAACCAATCAATATTCACGGCAGAACTAATGGGCATGGCCTCAGCCCTCCATAATCAAGAATCCAAAAAACACACAAAAATCCTAATACTTACCGACTCCCTAAGTGGACTGCAAGCCCTCCAAAACAAAAATACCAAAAACCGACCTAAATTAATAAATCAAATACTTAAAAGCTCCAACGACCTAACTAAGGCAGGCAAACAAATAACCTTCTTGTGGATACCCGCCCACGTAGGAATATACGGTAATGAAAACGCCGATAAAGCAGCTAAACTATCCCTCAAAATCCCAGAAATAAGCTTAAACTTATCCATCTCAAAATCAGAAATTAAAAGTGTAAACAAACCAAAAATCACAAAAATGGCATAACCTATATCTCAACCTATACCTATACTCAAATAGCCAAATCAAAAAAGTGCTCAGCAAACCACTAACCAAACCAAAATTCTCCACCCATCCAAAAAAATCGACAGAGTAATCACTCAACTCCAAACAGGACACACCAACCTAAATAACCACCTAAAAAAATAAAAAAACACACTGCAGGTAACTGCCCACACTGCAAACAACCAGAAACCCCAGAACACGCACTCATCCACTGCACACACTACCTAACACATCGAACCGCATTACAAACCACCCTCAATCTTAACAAGGCTCTCACTCTAGAAGCAATACTAAACCCACAAAATAAACTAGAAAACTTCAAGGCCTTAGGCGTATTCTTAATCAAAACGGAACTAATAAAACGCATCTAAAAACACAATAACCTACCAAATCAAAATCCCATAAACAAACAAACATCCACCATACCCAGCTCCCTTAGTTCTCCTCCCCAACCCCATCGGCATCTATTCCAAATCTCAAAATTCCAAAATTCTATATAAGCAACCCCTAAACCCCCCTCTTGGGTTGCACAGACCACTTTCGCCCCTTTCGGAAACTCATTAAATGGCCTGGCCGGGCCCGTGTGCGAAATACGCATCAGTCGGAAAGCGCACGTTAAATCTCCAAAGTAAGTAAGTAAGTCCTCATTCAGTCTTGCTTGACACCGTAAAAGGATCTATTTAAAATACAAAACAGCTGCCGATCCGTTCTCACCTTATCATATCACGGGTAGAATGCATAAAAGAAGCGATGGATGTGGTGTTTCGCGGCAATACCATGGATGACACTTGTATATCATACGATGTCTCATCGCATGGGTACCGGCATGAACAACTCTTCCCGCTTCTGGCTTCCGACTGTGCTTGATCTAAACATAGAGAACTTTGCATGAGCAAATACATATGGTCTCAAGTATATGGTCTTAGTAAGTTGTATCTCACCTTCATTATGTAAGTTCTACTTGCAATCATATTGCGATCTATTTACTAAAATCTTACACAGTTTACAATTATTCTTTTCTCTCCGCCACCCCTCCACATACACACACACCTCGTTTTTGGTTAAAGAGTAAGAACCTCCTGATTTCAAAATTCCGAATTTTGTGGTTGAAACCAGCAGCCTTTGTATGTGTTTGTGATGGGTGTTACCGGTAGTTCAGTATGTACTTACCTTTTCCAAACACCTTGTATAATCACTGTCTTACAGCGGTTCGAATCCCGGTTCGCCCCGATTATGTTTCCAGGTTTGTGTTCGTGGGTTTCGCCGAAGTGGTAAACGTCTGAGACCTGCATCACTTCAGGGTTTCCTCCAACATTAAGCTGACACGCCGCGATATAAGTGGAATACTGTTAAAAGCGGCGTTAAACCCAACTCACTCACCCACTGTCAGTGATTCATAGACACGAGCTTATGATGTAGTCAGAATCGTATAAGCAGAGGTTTCTCAAGATTGTGGAAATGATTTTGTGGCTTTCATTTAGAATCAACAACAAAATACAATGTACTTATGCCAGGAACATTTCAACACAGTACAAAGCCACATTGCAATGGAAATGATCTTACGGATTTTGGGTCTGTAACATGTTTCAAGTTCTTTCACAGAGCAGTGCCGCAGACTGACGGTGGCTGGAAAATATATCACCAGTCAAAATATCACAAAGACTTCTACTACTAGGACAAGCTGGATTTCAGTTAGTCAGATGTGTTTAAATGCCAGACTTTCAGAAATATCTGAAAATGACAGTGACTGTGTTATCTGCATAGCATGATGTAATGTGTCTATTGTTATTCCTAAAACCGGAAAAGAAAGCAAGAAACTTGACTTGATTCCCATCCAGCAATAAAAGAAACTGTGTTGTTTGTACATATGATATCATGGGTATATTGCCATTGTTAGAAAATGAGAAAGAAATACAAATACATTGTTGGGGTTCCAATCAAACAGTTTGAGACCAACCTCAACATGAAAATGCGTTCTTGGTGTCGTTGGATGTAAAGTATTCTTGCTGTAAAAAGAGAAAACGACAAATACCTTGTTGAGTTTCCCACCCAGCGGTACAGTTACAGGCATTCATGGCATCCTTATTGGAGCACTCGTGAGGACCCCCGTCAAAGCTGTAGTGCTTGAACCAATCAAGGGAGTTGACAAAGTCCGAGGCTTTAGTGTCTGTTATCACACACAACTTGTCATTTGATGGTAAACCTTAACAGACAATGCTTGACATGTAATGTTTTAATGAGGGATGGATGGCCCAGTCATCGAAGGCTCCGTAATTCTCGGTGCAGAGTTGTGTCATCTAGGCATGCCAGAAGCATATAATTGTAGGTTCGAATCCTGGTTCGCCTTGATTGTGCTTCCAGGTGTTTGAGCTCCGTTGTTTAGTTCTATTTTATAACTCCATACCCGTGCTCATGGTCCATTGACTTCTCGTCATTGTTTGCTTCATGTTGATGGATTGTTAGAATATGATGTAACGAACAACTTAACTTCGTTGTTGTTATATCGTGTACGTTCATACGCCGACCATATACATTGACTTAGGACCAAGCAGAAGCACCTGAGTATGTGGAATTTCGATGTTAAATCAAGTCTGCTTAGCACACTCGATCTGGGAATGCTGATTGTTGTGGCACAAATGTAAGGGGACCCTTTTTAGCTTTTGATTTTTGTGATTCGACCCACTGGAGCCAAACGTCATTTTCAAAAGGTAACATCAATTATTTCCAATCTACTGTTTGCATCACTGCTCTATCCATGCGTTGGAAGAATATAATTGTACACTTACATAATGGAACTGTTTACTATTTGGATGACTGATCAAATTCAATCATATATATATATATATATATTGTTCTTGACACAAACGTACCTCCTTCTTTGTCAGCTGTATGCGTGTCGACGTCCCGACTGATACACCAGTCATTGCATGATTACTGTAGCTCGGAGATGTATCTGGTTCATCGATATATACCTGATTCAACAAAACGGAGATTACAACGTGGCAAAGGATTCCAAGTTTATGAGTCTGTGCATTCTTGAATATTTTAAACAACTTTTGTATTAGATTATGAACAGCCATGATATATTGTCGTTTGCTTGGAACCTCTTGACATCTTTTGTGCTATTATATTTACCTTTAGCTTCGTTTTTAGCCCTAGATTCGAATGGCACGATGCTAAAAATTGACGTCTAGAACGATTATGTGCTCAGTTATTTAATTGTGTGTTGGTTGTAAACGCAGGAATATGTCAGCTATATGACGGCGGTCTGTAAAAAATGGAGTCTGGACCAGACAATCCAGTAATTGGTCCCATGGCCAACACTCCACACGGTCGAGGTACTTTGAGACGCTATCAACCAAGTCACCCAGTCTGACCATCTGATCCATTTAGTCAAGGTTCGAAAGATAAAATTATCTTATGTTAAGAAGTAATTGCTGAGTGCTGGTCAGAGGGAGTGAGTGGGTGAGTTGGTTTCACGTCGCTTTTAACAGTATTCCAGTTATATCACGGCATGTCAGCTTATTGTGGGAGGAAAGCCCGAAGTGATTCAGGTCTCAGACGTTTACCACTTCGGTGAAACCCACGAGCACGGGTATGGTGCTGACAAACCTATAAACATAATCGGGGTGAACCGGGATTCGAACATACAATCATAGGTTCCTGGCGTGCCCAAGGGACGCAACCCCTGCACAGCGAATCGGGGCGACTGGGCAACCCGTGCCCCCTGGTCAGAGGGAATGTCAGATATTGTAATACTACATTATGAGCAGCTATAGTAGAATGTTGTTTGCTTTTGAACCTTTTGAAACTTTTCTGTGTCTGTCAGATTTACATTTGTCCCCGCCTCGTATACTACTCCCTCAAGATAGGTCTCTTGCATGATGTTAAGAGTTATAAACAATCCTGCTTGTCCGGACTCTGTATCTATATCAGCGTTAGCGTTGAAGGTGAAGCAACGTTGATCTTGTTTTAGGTTGTATTTCAGCCTTTCCGGGAGGACACGGTCGTGTTTGAAATATATGAACTCGAACATATTTTCCTCATTGTATGCTCCATCTTCCCAAAATTTGACATAATCCACTTTATCTAGCTCTCTTCCTTCCTCCCCGTACCAGTCATTAGCCGGTGACATGTGTGCCAGAGGGCCTTTACTGCGAAGATAGTTCAGCTCTGTCTTAGTAAGGTTTTGTTGGCTTATGTCAAACGTGTTCGGATTGCAAAACGTGATTGCAGGAAACCTGATCTGTTGTTTGCGCTCTCTTGTAATCTTAGTGATGAAGTTGTAGCTGTAGTACCTACTGTAAAGATCAGCCAACGTTTTCAGACATATTCCCGTCTTTGTCAAAAGCAACACAGTCCATGCTACTCTGAAACAGGAATATGAATTGGTTTACTGTTTTGTTTCGGACACGTGTTCCAACAAGATCTGGAGCGTTATCGATCCTCATACATGAACAAAAAGGTATTAAAATCCTATCCCCGCCAAGCATGGTTTAAAGTTGGCCAGGTGAAGCAACTGGTCAAGGGTTTTGCTAACTGGGTTCCACATGGGTCCATCAAATATTACTCATGAGATGTCTAAAGTTGTCATGCGGGTGTGTTTTTTCGGATGGAAAATATCATGTATTATGAATTTAAAAAATTATAAGCGAGTCTTGTGTGCTAATACAGGATTAAACTTCTTCATCATATAATGTTATTTTTAAATTCACAAACTGTTTCTAAACATTGCAAACATTCCTGGTTTTTGCACTTATCATATTGCGTCAAAAGGTCAGTGCTAAGTCAGTCTGACAGTGACCACAGACAATGTTGTTCCAACTACCATGTTTGAAAAGACATTTGCCAACACATAATGTCAATGATATAACCTTTAGCGGCAATCAATGTGCCCATCGGCTGGAGTTATTTCCCTTTATCGAAGGGAAGCTGGTCCAGTCTTTGAACCATCTAAGCTTGTTCCAGCAGTCACTCGTCACGATGTCCAACCGGGCTTGCGCGGGAAACAAGTGAGTGGGGCATATTGTCAATGATGTCCCCTTTCCCGAAAATCAATCAGACCACACACAGGAGTAAATGCCCTTTATCAAAGGGAAGCTACTCCAGTCTCTGAGGCCTAGAAGTGGTGACTCGTCCCTGTATCTAACCGCCGGAACCCAGTGAATGAGGCATCAAGTTTACCTGGTCATAACATTGTTATTTGGTTACAATATATAGTCAGATGCCCCACATACCGACACAGTGATACAAAGCAAGGTATGAATGGACACCTCCGGCCACATTGGACTCGTCTTGGAACGGGATGTGCACAAACTTCTCTTTCAGTGACGGTTTCTAACTTTTTCAGTTGCCCACTAAATCACGAAAACTGCATTACATTCGAGAAGAGACCCCAAGTCACAGAGATCTACAAGAAAAGGTATGGGAACTGATACACAGACCTAAGGTAAACGCAGTTTATAGTTCCATTTTGTCTGTACACATGTAAAACGCCTCAGTAAGGCCCTGACTTTCGGTATATTTGACTATCTTTTGTTGACAATGATGACAATTGGCTGAGATAAAAGCTACAGTATCGTATGTATATTTGTTGAGTATATTTTTTTAATTACCTATTTATTTATTTATTTATTTATTTATTTAGTGTTTTTGTGTTGTTTTGTGTGTGTGTGTGTGTGTGTGAGTGTGAGTGTGTGTGTGTGTGTGTGTGTGCGTGTGTGCGTGTGTGCGTGCGTGTGTGTGCGTTGTAACATATTGACTATATTGAGAGCCACAAACCCTATTTATGTAGCATTGCTGGAGTAGAGATACACCACCATCTACACATTGTCTCCAGCTTTCTGTGGATGGACTGCCTTATACCTGCCATACTGAATCATGACCCACATGGAAACATTACATCAACATGATTACGTAAGTAATCAAATCAGGATCGCTTCCTCGCGACAATATAGGGCACTGCACTTTATCCTTTATTTCATGGATTGGATGTTTGTGTTATTAGAGTGAACACGTACTGTGTTTGTAACAATATTTTGACCAATAAATACTCTTTAAATAAGTAGATAATAACTTAAAATGTCCAAAATTGGAAGATATATTAGTTTCTAGTTATTGCATGATAATCGTGAACGTATTAGGAACACATTACAACCGGTAGTTAAGTATGACAGGAGATCTTGAAGGACGATAAGGGTAAGATGGGAATTTTCAAAGTTGACGTTATTGGATCAGTGGTGTGTAATACCGCCACGGCGACTTGAGGGAGTCTGCACCTTTCCTCTTGCAGCGAATGGCCAAGTTCAACCAACGTGGTTGACGGCCTATGGCGTTGATGCAAACTTCTCCCTATCACATACCCAAGACATGTTCTATGGGGGAAAGCTCTTGACTCATTCCTAGCCTCAATATGGAGTGGGGTTCGCTCAATCACAGTGATTTCAGCACACACCATAACCGATCCACAGCCAGATCTGCCCTGAGGCCTCAGGTTGACATTTCGATGTCGCCAGACACAACAATGTCTATCATTGTAGCACAAAGTGAATCGTGGCTCATCTGAAAATATGACACGTGCGCAGTTTCTACGTTGTGTATACCTTTGACGTCTGTAGGACGATTTGTAAGGGGCGGCTCAACACGTGGCTGTCTAGCGTGGAGATACACTGCATGTGGACGATTTCTAATCGTCTGACCCTTGACTCGTGATGAAAAGTTTGCAACAATTTGATTCGCTGTTTTCATAGTGTCTGGTTTCGTATCGATTGATCCTGTACTCTTGTTGGTAACCTGAACGGGCACCCTAAACCCATTTTGGGTTCGTTGGTTCCTGTGGTGTAATTAGCAAACTGTGAAACATTGAACGTATTTGCCACTGCACGCTGACTTCTGTCAGTTTCCAACATGCCAAGGGCCGGGAGACGGGCGTTGCAGAATAGTTCGTACACAAATCACAACAATGGAATTTCGCAATTGTATGATAAGCAGAATCAATAAGATCCACAGAAATATCAAAATCAGGAATGACACCTAACGCACGCGTGTGACATTAGCGTGCGGCAGGTGCAAACTACAAGATGTGCTTTGGTGTTAAATTTTACAGACATAAACGTTCTTGCATAGGATGTTTTTCGTCAACACTTATCTAATTCTTAGTATAAATATTTATATTTCAATATCCCCTATTTTTTTAAGAGTATACATTGATAAATTCACAATAAATCTTCTCATTTTGTTTAAAATACGGTGAAGGGTATTCGTTTTGTTACTGTGCAAAAAACTTAGGTATATTTTTTTTGATAAGACAACACAAACTATAACTCAGTATTGTCATGTTTGAATCATAATGATTTCTCGAAAAAGAGTTACACATTATATTTAATTTGAAAAGTGACCCGTGCAGTAAGTATAGGATTGGTTCAATCCTAATTCTTAATTTCGTATTTTCATGAAACATAGAATAATATATACCTAAAATAGTATATACTTGTGAATGTATGACGTAGTGGTGTCACAAAAGGGTTACATATCGTATGAATGCAGGAACAAAACACATAAACACCTTCAAAGACACAATCCATCCCGTTTGGGCTACACATATATGTCCACGCAGAGCACTATTGATACCTTTGGACAAAGCCTAATGGGACACCGTAGTGCTCCCATTTAGGACAATTTGCATGCTGCAGGCTGGGATCCTATCATGAGCCTTAAGAATAATATGTCACATCATGCTCATGATTGCTACCACGTCACACTTTCCTCAATCCCATTTGTAGGCAATTTCAAACACTGTTTTAAGTATGCAGGTTGTAAACTTTTACCCATGTTCACGTACATGAATATGGTGCTGACAAACATAATCAGGGTGAACTGGATTAGAACTGGTGTTCAGAAGTTTCTGGCATGCCTAAAGGATGCTACTCTACACAGCGAATTCTGGCACTTTCCAATACTGAAACACCCCATCCCCTCCCAACCAATTTTCCAATTAGTCTGTCGTAGCGGCCATACTGGAAATCGTATTCGAACCTACTGAACAAATGTAGGTTTATCATTGGAGGGAACTAGGCTTTCAAAGAATTAAGAACATGGCCAAAGTGCAAAAGTCCAATATAAACTAAAATTTTAAGTTAAACTAAAAAGTACTGGATTCGAGCCTCACTACTATTTGAGTAATAGCCGTAAATAGTTTTAATATGGCTGCTGTACTAATTCAGCTTCATTTGTCCAGTGGTTCTTCACGCCGACGTAACCAACAAGTAGGCCATGACATATGCCCACTTGACTTTCAGATGAGCTAAAATGTATGTATGTGTTTTGAACAATTAACACCAAACCCCAAAATGACTCGTCTCACCTTATTACTTTATGACGCTTCTTACAGCCATGGAGACTGGTATCTCGCAGGAAGTCCCTCCATAAATCCTTCCACTGAGACAGGATTTCTTCTCGCAATGTCATACCATCCTTCAGAGTGACTACCGGCTCCACCTTCATCCTGCCAGACTACAGAGCTCCGCTTGTGGAAGATATAATCATGGCTTGCTGTCTGGTCCCAGAACTGAAGTGTTCAATACACCCCGACAGTTTAACATGTGATAATGGATGCTGTTGTTTGCGGAAGTAATGCAGACTTTCAGTATCATGATTGTTCAGTCGTTAACAATGCCAGGGCTATAATGGATAGCCTGGTACTTAACAATTGCATTTAAAACAGTTTGTAACCATTAGTTTGCTCTCTGTGTGATATGCAATCTTGTCAAACAGATTAGTGTAAACGCTTACACGTAACTTTGTTGATTTCGTTCCATCTCTCAGAAATGTTTTATTTCATGTGATTTTACAATTATCATCAGACATTTTACACTAAATTTGATCGGAACTTGTCTGAGTGTGCATTAAAGTTGCGCAATAGATAAATGTTTGTACAGTTGTCAGGTAATAGTGCGTGTTGTTGCAAATTAGGCCTCAATTATCAACGGTATTTCATATGCTACAGACCCGTGCATTTAAGTATGTTGAAATAGATATGTACAGATATCGCACACTGTATTGTAGGCTGAACCAAGAAATGTAATGTAACTGCATCATGATACTTAGTATATATGTCGTACCATATACATATACTTCTAAAAAAAGTTAAGGAACACACGATCTTTTTCATATAACTATAATCAATCATGCATGTCATTGCAGATTAACTGTAAGCATATGTTCCTTGACTTCTTTTGAGTAGTATAGATAAAACGGCACATGCGATGCACAATGAGGATCGATAGAACGTATAGGAAATAAGGATTAGTATCACATTTTATCTGAACCCACAAACACCAATGAGGTTATACATATACATGGAAATAAGTTAAGCAACACCCGTATATTCTCAGACTGAGCAACTTTAATGAACTATTGCATGAAATCTGTAAAAGAGTTCCATACCAAATAAATTATTTAGTGAAAAGAAAGGGTTGAGGATGAACATTACTATAAAATAAAGTGGTGTTTTTTTGGAGATGTTACAGATTTTGAAAATGAACTAATTTCATCCAAAAAATTACGAATGTCACTTTTGTTGCACAGACTGTCAGTACCATGCACACTTCTGGTTCACGGAATTGAAGAACAATGTCCTGCAAGTCCAAACATTGACTTTACTTCAGTATCTTGTATAACCTCCCTGAACCCGAACAACTGCTTCAAGACGCCTCCTCATTTTTTGGATCAATCTCAAGATTTGATTCTGTCCCATCCTGTCCCATTTGAGGTCGTCGAGTTCGACAAAGAGACCCACCTGTCCATACGCTTAATGAATTGCTTTGAATGAGAAATGGGGGTGTGACGTTAGCTACCTGGGAGGTGTCCTCCCATTAGTTAGACGTCCCAATAGTTAGACAGCTTATAACAACACTTTAAACGGTTGAATGCACACTAATCCTTATGCTTGTTACCTCAGACTTTAAAATGGAATAGTCCAGATAAGATCTGACAAACAAAGCAAAGCAGCTTTAAATAGATACTTTAATATTATACTTAACATTTAATGACACTTTACATTTGATAAATTTTGTACAGTTTGTAACAACACTTTGTGCCAGTTTTTGGTAATGTACACTTTACATTTAATAACTTTTACAGTTTATTTATCCCAGACGGAGCAAGTGTGCTAGGTGACAGAGGTCTGTTGAGTCGCTCTTGAACTTCTGTCTTCAGTTGTCGAAAAAGCCGGCCATGGGTTGTTGCTTGGCGATCTGGCAAAAGGGCGAACACTAGAGGGAAGGTGTTGGGGCCAACTCTGGCATGAATGATGTATACTTGATCCCATAAACCTGGACATGCTGTGAAGGTACCATCCATGTAAAGGGTGTGAGCTTCCTGGAGGGCTTGTATCTGTTCTGCAGTGGAGAAAGCCAGGATCTTGTCATCGTCGCTGTCGCTGAACAGTAGAAAGGGACGTCCATCTGTTGTCTCTGACCCTTTGTCTTCAATGTCTACTGCTGACCGCGACCTGGGTAACGCTGGAATGTAACGCCTGAACAAGAGCAAAGGAACTGTTACACATATGTTACATGATATATTGATAACGATTTCATTAACTTGAAATGTTTAAGAGCAAAACAAGTTATGTGGGACCTAAAAAAAAAGTAAATTCTAACCAAGTCAAAAATACGGGATGATATTTACCTGTAAAGTGCACTTTTCACGCTCTGAAATGACGGCATCGCTGGCATGTTGGCTTCATCTACTTGAGTATCTTGCTCCTCGTACAATGCCTGCATCTGTGTGGTTTCTTCTCGCGCTCCTCTACAAAGATCGCTGACAAAGTTCACTCTGGTTTCATCTTCAGGCGGATGGTTATGTTCCGACTGATTGCAAAGAAAGTCACCGACAGTCATACATTTCCCATTGCACGTCTTGACGACACATCTCCAATGTGTGCAGGTTTGCCTCTCGCGGTTTCTGTTGTAAACATGTCCATCTAATATCAACTGCTCACTTCCACGCCGAGAGGTGATGTACTCTACTTTCCTTAAACCAGCCATATCGATACTGATAATGATACGTACCCCAAGATCATTTTTATTTGTTGGATAAGTAGATAATCTAAACTCAACTCCTTCAACTGATCATACAGTAAGACAATTAAGCTACTCCATAGTTTACATAGTTAATCTCATGCCTATTGAACCTGTGCTGAGAGTAAGGTAATTTAGGTTAATTAAACGAAATTATAACATATATACTCCCTAAACTGTGAGTCCCCTATCCCTACTCAGTACTTTAATCTAATTAGGACTGATCCATTACACCTGTAGGTATATTCCCTCTTTGCCTTATTACAAATGTCTAACAATTGGGACGTCTAACTAATGGGACGTCTAACTAATGGGATATAACCACCTGGGACAGTGATGGTTCCCGATTCATGTGGGTTAGAGTAACTATTAAGGAAGCCCCTTTCACCTACAACATTCAGAAAGGATTAACATACGTGGTGACGTGTTCCCATTTGAATAATTTGGTAAATTTATCTGTCATCCATTCGTTTGGCTCGCTTCATCATTGTCATGAAACTTACACATTAATGTATTAACATTAACAAGATCATAGAAAACATGCTTAAAATATATGCCCTCAATATGCTAAAACATTTCAAGGACTTTTTAAAAATGACTTCTACATAGAGTACGATTCTATTTGTATATCTCTTACTACTACCATCAGACATGCACATGCATAAATAATTCTTTGATGTATCTTTATGAACATGAAAAGCCAGCTAATCAATTCGGGTCCATTGTCAGATGATAGTTCTGGTAGAGATTCAGCCACTCACCATATCACCAATATGAAGCAAAACTGAAGACATATACAGAGCGGAAAACCGTTTTCAAAAGCATGTCTGTCATGAAATGGCTCATATTTATGAGGAATCCGAACGCTAGTTTCGTTTCCACTCAAATACACAAGGATTTGTGATGGAAGAATGAATTCATTGAGGGCATTATTTCAGCTACATCTGATGAGAGCTGAAGTATTAAATACAAAATTGAATTCATTTAATTCAATTTCCAGAATATAACTGTGGCTTCTGATGCCGCATTTGCCACTGTAATCAATTCACACCCCATCAAATACATAAAATAGATGTCAGTTGTGAAAATTTGACATCAACCCCAAGAATGCCCTTGATGTTCATGCTAATGATGCAAGGGGCATCTATATCAGATTCTATGTCACAAAACAAAGCAAAACACCCATTCTTGTTTCAAGCCATTGAGATCACTGGTGCTTCAAAAGTGGCCTGATACTTATGAGGCTAATAGCAGATACATAATATATACAAATATGAGCAACAATTAAAATAAATCTATACTTATATTAAGTGCACATCCGCGCATGACTGTTAACAGGTAGAACAATGTTTGCCACTGCATATCTGACTTTAACCCTCCTTACATAAAATATGCTATGTTTTCTCATCGACTCTGATTTTGGAAGATTTACTGATTGCTGGTTTCTATGATACTGGAATGTGTACAGGGCTAGAATGTGCTCACTTTATTGAAGGTCATATTCCAAACAATTATATCCGTTTGTGTATACCGTAATATTCTCTTTGTACTCATGTACCACCGAGAGTTCCTTCGGGTGAACACTTGACTTGCCTTTGCATATGTTTGTGACGGGTGCCACCGGTAGGGCAGGATGCGCTCAGTGTTTTCTGAACGTCGGTTATCATCACTATCTACCCTCTTTATCATATAATGTTATTCTTAAATTTCATTGTCAAAAACAGTTGCTAAACATATCATTGCAAGTTTTCCTGGAAGGACTAAGTCAGTCGGATAGTGACAACAGACAATATAGTTCCAACTACTATGTACATTGTATGTTGATCGCTACTACTAATTACACACCAAACCACAAATAACTGTACATTTTTAAAAAGATAGACGTTCAGTGACGATACATTTGGTTTTCATTTAGTATGTCGTAGCGGCCATATTGGAAATCGTATTCGAACCTACTGAACAAATGTAGGCGCAATCATTGGTGGGAACAAGCACGTGAATTTTCAACTTTACTGATCCTGTGGTTTCTTAGGAGATGACCTTCACAGACCTGAAGTACGCTCTCAGAGAATTTAGAACATGGTCAAAGTGCATAAGTCAAATAAATGGGTACATTTCAAGTATTGTCAACAAAAAATACAGGTTTTGAGCCTCACAACTAGCTGAGTAATAGCCATTCAATATTTCATTCAATATTGCTGCAGTGCCGGACTAATTCAGCGTCATTTGTCCAGTGGTATTTGAGATGTTCCAAGATGACGCTGACCTACCGGACAAGTAGTCATCACATAAGCTGACTTGACTTTCAGATGAGTTAAAATGAATGTATGTGTTTGGAGCAATTAATACTAAACCCAAAAGTGGCTCGCCTTACCTGACTATTTTATGACGCTTTTGACAAGGAATATTCTTACAGCCATGGAGACTGGTGTCTCGCAGGAAGTCCCGCCAATTATCCCGCCACTGAGACAG